TAAAAAAATCAATAAAATGTATTTTTAAAAAAGAAGAAGAAGAAGGAATGTGGAATCCTTCACAACCTCCTACAGGTTTTCTTTACCCACAGAACTATTTCTTGGGAACTCTGTGGCCTTTCAAAGGAGCACAGCTTCCAAACTGGTTTTCACTGAAGGAAGATCCTGATCCTCTGTCTTCTCTCAACAGGGCTTTCCACACAACCTAGGAAGGAGGAAAGAGAAACTTCAGCATATTTTAGACTCTTATTCCTTGAGGCTTCTCTTCCAGACAATTGTCATAAATACCAGTGTGGGAGACAAACACACAGAGTTCTAGGCTAGAACCATAGGCACCACCAGGTTCCTCAGACCCTGTCCTCCACTGAAGCAGCCTGGGTGAGGATCTTAGCTTTCTGGGAGGTTAAATAAAAGAACTGAGAGAGAGAAACTGAATGCTCTGGGGCCTCAGTAAGGGTGGGATTACATGCTTTGGAACAATTATGGAGGAGGTTGAGTCTTGAAAGATGGGTATTTCTAAAGGAGAATGGTGAGTGGGTTAGGAGAAGGAGCAGCATTCCTTAGGGGAAAATCTGTGTGAGAAATGGTAGAGTTGGAGATGTGCAAAGTCTGTTCAGGTAACAGGTCTTGTTCAGTTGTTGAGTACAGGAAGGAGCAGTGGCACTGGAAGCCAAAAAAGACTATTTCTGCCTGCAAGGCATTTTGTACTTTACAAAGCTAGTCCACTCCCTTCCTCACCAGATCCTCAATACAACCCTATCAGGTACAGAGCCACTGCTATTGAACTCATTTCACAGAATTAAAAAAAGGACAGCCATGGCTGGTTTTATTCAGCGGTTAGTGTCAGCCTGCAGTCCCGAGAGACCCGGGTTCAGTTCCCGCTAAGGGCATGTACCTTGGTTGCAGTTTGTCCCCGGCCCTGGTTGGGTCGTGTGGGTGGCAGCTACTCGATGTGTCCCTTTCACGTCGATGTTTCTTTCTCTCTCTCTTCCTCTCTCTCCCTCCCACTCTATCTGAACAAAAAAATGGAAAAATGTCCTCGGGTGAGGTTAAAAAAAAAGGACAAAACAGAACTGGGATTCAGAGTGGTTAGGTGACCTAAACAAAGCCATGATACAAGTAAATGGCTGAGCTTGGACTCCAACCCAGAGTTTCTGTCTCCTAACATTCTTTTTCCCAAAACTGGTATCATACTTGGGGCCAGGAATGACCTGTAATGTATGGTATGAGTTTTCAGGCAGTGGGGAGCCACAGAAAGGACTTTACAAGAGGTGTGGTAATCAAAGGTGCACTGGACCAGCATTTGTGCCATTTGGAAGAGGACTTTGAGTGTTGCAGTGGAGCTAAATGGCTCTGACAAAGAAAGTGGGATGATTTACAGGTAATGTAAACAGGGCAGAAAGGGAGAAAACAGCTAATGGCGGGCCCTAAAGAGAGCCTGTGGAGAAGAATGGTATTCATTCATCCATTCATTCATTTGTTCATTCAATAACTCTTTATTAATTACCTCCTCTGTGCCAAGTGCTGTGGTAGACATTGGGAATGTGATGGTGAACTCGATAATGGGGTCCCTGCCCTCACAAGACTGACATTTCAGGGGATCACAGATGATAAACAGCAAGTGAAGTAAGTAAAAGAATGTCAAATTGTGGCCCTGGCCAGTTTGGCTCGGCGGTTAGAGCATCGGCCTGCGGTCCTGAGAGACCCGGGTTCGGTTCCCGCTAAGGGCACGTGCCTCGGTTGCAGTTTGTCCCCGGCCCTGGTCGGTTGTGCGGGTGGCGGCCACTTGGTGTGTCCCTTTCACGTTGATGTTTCTCTCTCTCTCTGTTCCTCTCTCTCCCTCCCACTCTACCTGAACAAAAAATGGAAAAATGTCCTCGGGTGAGGATGAAAAAAAAAAGAATGTCAAATTGTGATTAACCATGTGATCTTCAGGAACATACAAGGACATCCACCCTGTGTCATGTGGTTTTCAGGGTGGTGTCTCCTGCCTGCTCTGGAAATCCCTGCCTCTAAGTGTAATGAAGTCTGTGTTCAGGGTCTTATAGGAGTTCAGGGGAGGAAGGTGTCCTTTCTCCTATTGTGGTGATTTGGGGAAGGCTTCATGGAAGGGGAAACATTGATGTTGGGCATTTATTTATTCAACAAATACTTAATGAACACCTACTGAGTGCCAGGCTATTCTAGGAGCTAGGGGTAATCAGTGAACAAAACAAAGCAAACCATGTTGCTACCTTCATGGAGCTACTGAAAGGAGGACAGATAAGCAAGACTGGCAAGTAAAATAATATTTTAGATGGTGATGAATGCTCTAGAGAACATTTGAATTGTGGAAGGGGAATACAGTGTGTGTGGGGACAGATATCACAGACTTAGATACGGTGGCCAGGGAAGGCTGCATTAAGAAGATGACATTTGAATAAGGACCTGAGGGAGGTGAGACCATCATGCAAATATATGCTGGGTGGAAGGTCCAGGTGTAAGGACCTACATGCAAAGGCCCTGAAGCAGGAGTTTTATTGGGTGTTTTCAGATGGGCTAGGAGGCCAGTGTAGTTGGAGCAAAGATAGCCAAGGGTAGAGTTGTAGGAGTTGAGATCAGAGAACTAATGGGAGTAGGTGAGGGGATAGATGGGGTGTTGGAGACCACTATAGCTTTTACTCTGAGAAGGGAAGCCACTGCCTTGAATGCAAGTTGCCCAAGGCTGAGGTATGGCCTGGCTCATCTCTGCACCCTCCTTAGTATCTAGCACAAGGCTTTCACCAAAAAATATCAAGGTGCAATTTAAAAAAAATAAAAGTTCTGTGCTGGCCAGTTTGACTCAGCAATTAGAGCATTGGCCCCAGGACCAAAAGGTTTTGGGTTCAATTCTGGTCAAGGGCATATACCTCGGTTGTAGGTTCGATCCCCAGCCCTGGTCGGGGTCATGCAAGAGGCAACCATTCAATGTGTCTCTCTCACATCATTGTTTTTCTCTCTCTCTCCCCCTCCCTCCCTTCCACTCTCTAAAAATCAATAGAAAAAAATATCCTCGGGTGAGGATTAATAACAACAAAAAAATAAATATAAAGAAATAGAAAATTCTGCTCTCACATAGAAGTTTCTCTCTCTCCCTCTCCCTTCCTCTCTCTCTAAAAAAATTTTTTAAAAAATTAAAAAGTATGCCAACAGACAACATTTATGTGGCCTGCAGGGCATATAGTTGTTAGGTGCCCACTTTGATCACTGTCTTAGGCATAAAGAAATTCCCCTGGAAATGAGGTGGGGAATGTAGGGCCAGGTGGGAAAATGTGGGCAGGAAATAAGTGGATCACTGGGTCTTTGGAGCAGGGGTAGGCCTGAGGAAGTTGATTGACTGGTAGGGTGGGCTGGAGGAGAGATGTGTACAGTAGGCTAGTGCAACCAGGAGGAGCAATAGGCTGTGTAGAAGAGAGAAGTAGGAAAGAAACCTTAGCCAGGAGGCTGGCCAGGATGTGGAAATGGATGAGAGAAAAGTTAGACATAACTGCCAGGTATTGGGCTGTGTGCCTAGACCAAGAGGACTTATGAACAGAATTGGAGAGGTCTAGCAAGCTGGCCTCTACATGACACTTACCACGTTATGCCTTGCATTTTGTTTTCCTATTGCCTTTTCCTTATTATCACCTCAAGGGTAGGGAATGTGTCTTACTCACCTTTGTGTCCACTGCTGTAGGGCATATAGCAGGTGCTCAGGCAGTGCTTGTGTTATTTTGTATCAGTTGGGTTTGAGAAACAGATGTGCCTGCCATCTTTTATCCCATTATTTCTATAATCATTTCTTCTCTCCACGTGCTGGTCTAGCAATTCCACTCCTCAGTCAAGAAGACGCTATTCCTAAGCCTCTCACTAGCAAGACAACATATGCTTATTAAGCCATGATGATGGTCAATCACGAAAGACTGAACAGTCATAGTCAGAGGCTGTTCAAGTTCAGGGTTAGCTAGGCATTTATCTGAGGCACACAGGGGTAAGTTTCTCTAGAGGTAAGAGAAGTAGCCACTACTAACCTAAGAAAACTCACCTGCTTCCTTTGTCTCCTGAAACAGCTGCTGTGGGACCCTCCCTGCATACTGCAGGCATCAACAATGCCTATCAGGTGGGAGTGCACTGAATATTCAGCATTCACCCAAACATTTATTAAGCATTTACAATGTCTATAGACACAGTTATACTTCAGAGCAATTACATCTACCCTATTTTCCGAAGTCAGCTTCAAGGTCTCTGGATACCTCCCAATTAGGTTAGGGATATCATAGCACCTGGTACTTCCCTTAGCCTCGCATTTATAAAATAGCATTTTTATGTCTGTTTTCTGGTTTGTATATTCTACCAAATCAGAAGCTCTTTGAAAGCATAAACCCAGATTTTGTCTGCAGAGACTTGTACAATGCAGGCATTATTTAACTAACAATTGCTGAATTAAATAAGACAGTGATGTAGAGTGCTGAGTATGAACAAGGTGAAACCCCAGGATGTCAGGTGAGGCTTCTAAGTTCAACTGAAGTTGGAAAAGTACAGAAGTGGTCAGTTCATCATGTATGGAACACGTGTGTGCAATGTTGGAAGGTGTGAAATTCTATGGCTGGAGTTTATCTGGGGAGCTAGGGTGCCAGACAGGAGGGGCAGCAGGACAGGATTATGCAGAACCGTGGTCCCCTTAAGGTCAAGTCCATAAAACAGAGGTAATGGCAGCAACCCTGGCCAGAGAAGATGCCAACCTCCAAATCCTCTGGGAAACTACCAGAGATTACACTGGCAGCTCCTCGCACCTCGCCGTGCCCATAGCACATGCCGCCTGCTCGCCGCGCACCCCGGCCCCGGCCTGCTTGGGGGCCCAGAGGTCTCCGGAGCACCCAGGGGACCTGGACGCCAGGGGCGGGGCGCGCAGGCGCGCTGAGGCCTCGAGCCCCAAGGGGCGGGCGGGTGCGCGCGCTTCCGCGCGCACGCGCGCACGGAGGGGGCGACGGCCGCGGTGACGCTACTGCGGCGGGCGGGTGGCAGCGCGTGAGGCGCGCGATTCCCCGCGTCTTGGGAGCAGTGCCACGGGTCCCGCCGCTCCCTCCGCCGCCATGTCGGGCAGGTCAGTTCGGGCCGAGACCCGCAGCCGGGCCAAGGACGACATCAAGAAGGTGATGGCTGCCATCGAGAAAGTGCGGAAATGGTGAGGGGCCGGGGCCGAGGGTGCAGGCGGGGGTCGCCGGCCCAGGCTCAGAGGAGCTCCAGACCAGCGGTCGGGATGGGAGCCGATCGGCTGTCGCTTGGGGGGAGGGGGGAAGCTGGAGAAGGCGGGAGGAGAGCGCAGCTCGCGTCGGCGTGAGGTTAGAGGGCGCGCCCGCCATGACCAATAAGATGTTCCATCGGCTCGTGGCCCCGCCCACCGGCCGTGGGCGGTGCGTCGCCGAGTTGTTGCCGGCTTCCGGTCGCGCTGGTCTAGGGTACGTTGCTCCTCGCCTGTGTTCTGGCCGGGTTTCGTCTCCCTATCCGCTAGACTGAGCGCTTTACGTATTAAGTTTGGTGAGAGGTACTCGGTACCTACCTGCCAAGGGAACAAGCTTGGTGTGGGAATCAAAACTCCCTCTGTCCTTGAATGCTAGCCCGCACGCTATGAGCTAGGTAGGCAAAATTTTCTTAGTGCCCTGGGAGCTGTAGGTAGGGGCGTGAGACCCACTTGTTTGGAAACGGCTCATGTAACGTTCGTTGCTGGCGCTGGTTGACTGCCTATTTTGTATCAGGAACTCCAGTGTATTATCGCATTCAAGTTTCACAGCCAACTACATACGCCAACTTCTTGAGTGCTTTTCTTTAGCTGATGACTATTAATAATTTGAAAGCCCGGGTAGGTATTAACTCCTAACAGGAAACCTTCTCAAAGCCCTCCCGTCTTTCATCCTCCACACCACCTTTAGGGGCTTCGTTACCTTGGGCTTAATTTGTGTGTTTGTCCATTTTCCCACAAGATCAAGTTCCTTATTTCTTTGTACCCAAGGGTTTCGTGAATAGTTAGGACCCATTATAAACATTAGTTAAATAATCATTTTTCTTCCTCCTCCAAATGTAATCCTCCTTGGTTATTTGTGAAACTTAAGAATCGACGCAGGTTTCTTTCTCTTCTGGCATTTTCTGCCCCCACCAGCGGCCTAGGCCAGATGATCATCCTCTCTCCCCCCAGAACTCTGTACCATCCTCCCTGTGCTTTCCCTGTTTCAACTCCACTCGTTCCTCTGTCCGTTGCTCACATTGCACTCAGAGCCATAACAATTTTCTCAAGTACAAATTTCATCGTAGTACTTTTCTGCTAAGAAAATAATACTTCAGTGCCCTCTTCCTACTCTTAAGACCAAACCTGGTCCTGCCTGCCTCACCTACCTTGCTCAAAATGCTGTCTTTCCCAGGACACTGGTCATCTTTCAGTTGGAGCGGTGCTACTACTACGCTATCTGGCACCCTTCCTCAACCTCACATCCCCCTTGCCTAGTTAACTCCTAGTTCAGTTCAAAAGTTGGTTCCTCAAGGACACCTTTCAAGATTCTCAGTCTAGATCTGGTACCCTTAATAAAACTTTCCACAATTGTATTAGGTTGAACCATAATAAATTTCCTATATTTGACTTTTTAACCTGCAAAAATGGAAATTTGATATGGTTAAACCTAATGGTTAAGTGACTGATAGTGAAATGAGTTGTTTGATGTCTGTTTTCAACTGGAGTGTGGACTCTGTGAGGGTAGGGACTATGCATCCTGTGTGCCCAGGGTGTAGCAAAAGGTCTTGTATATTAAATATTTGTTAAGTAGCCCTGGCTGATGGTGCTCAGTGGTTAGAGCGTCAGCCCTAGCACCTAAGGGTCTCATGTTTGATTCCCTGTCAAGGGCCTGTACCTGGGTAGCAGGTGGATCTCTGACCCTGGGCCGGCAGGAGTGAGTGTGGGAGGCAACCAATCAATGTGTCTCTCATATCAACGTTTCTCTTTCTCCCCCTCCCTCTCTTTCTCTCCTTCCTTCCTCCCTCCCTTCTACTCTAAAGATAAATGGAAAAAGTATCCCCAGGTGAGGATTAACAAATCATAAATAAGTAAACAAGTAAATAAATAAACATTTGTTAAATAAGTAAGGAACTGACGTGTCTTGTCCAGAAATTCACTTCCAATATTCTGAGTCTTTAGTTCATTCTTATTTTTGTTACATCACAGTCTCTTTTTTACATTCCTGTGATGTCTTCATTTGCTGAATAACTTCCTCAATAGCAATGGTAACAAGTTACTTTTTTTTTACTCCTAGTTTTTTTTTTTTTTTTATCCTCACCCGAGGATATTTTTCCATTTTTTGTACAGATAGAGTGGGAGGGAGAGAGAGTAAGGGAGAGAGAGAGAGAAACATCGACGTGAAGGGACACATCGAGTGGCTGGCACCCGCACGACCAACCAGGGCCGGGGACAAACTGCAACCGAAGTACATGCCCTTAGCGGGAACCGAACCCGGGTCTCTCCGGACCGCAGGCCGACGCTCTAACCACTGAGGCAAACTGGCCAGGGCTACTCCTAGTTTTTTTTAAAAATATGTTTTTATTGATTTTTTAGAGCAAGAGTAAAGGAGAGAGATAGAAATTTCAGTGTGAGAGAGATACATCAATTGGGTGCCTTCTGCATGCCCCCCAACCGGGTATCCAGCCTGCAACACAGGTTTGTGCCCTGACTGGGACCTCTCAGTCCATGGACGACTCTCAGTTTGCTGAGCCACACAGGCCAGGTGACAGTTACTTTTTTTTGCTGTTTTATATTATCAAACGTAGACTTGAAATTTTCAGAAGTTATTTCAGGCTCCCACTTCTGCTTGTCCATAATTTACTGTCCTATTCAAGAATGTCACTTGCCTTTCCCTAGGTATATGCCTGGGGGAAAGATTAAGCTACTCATTTGATTAAGGCTTATCTCAAAAGTTACTTCCTCTGTAAAATGAAACCTTAAAGTAGTCCTTCCATGGCTTGGCCTTCACCTCTTCCAGAGCCAGTGTAAGGCTTGGTTGTGTTAGCTGGGAGCATCCTGGCCTGTGATTATTTCCTGTGAGTATTTTTATTTTATTTAATTTTTTTGTTACTCTTCACCCAAGGATATTTTTCCATTGATTTTTAGATTTGGTGGAAGGGATCGATTGGTTGCCTCCCACATGACCCCAACCAAAGCCGGGGTATCGAACCTGCAAACCAGGCACATGCCTATGACTGGGAGTCAAACCCAAGACCCTTTGTTCTGAGGGCTGATGAGCCAAACTGGCCTGGGCTGTGATTATTTTTAATATTTTTTTTCTTTATTGATTTTAGAGAAAGGAAGGGAGATGGAGAGAGAGAGAGAAACATCGATGAGTCTGGCCGGTGTGGCTCAGTGGTTGAGCGCCAACCCATGCACCAAGAGGTTGCCGGTTTGATTCCCGGTCAGGACACATGCCCAGGTTGTGGGCTGGATCCCCAGTGGGGGGCATGCAGGAGGCGGCCAATTGATGTTCTCTCTCATTGATGTTTCTATTTCTCCTTGTCCCTTCCTCTCTCTAAAATCAATAAAGGGGAAAAAAATTTAAAAAGAAACATCAATTGGCCCCCTCCTGCATGTCCCTCAACTGTGGACCGGGCCCACAACCTGAGCATGTGCCTTGACTGGGAATCCAGCCGGCGACCACTTGATGCATGGGTTGACGCTCAACCACTGAGCCACACCAGCTGGGCAGGGCTGTGATTATTTTTAAATGGAGTTGTGTTTCAACTCAAAGGTCCATAAAAATCATAGGATGTTGCCCATCCATGGGATATCCTAGTCTTACTCTGTCTTTTACCATTCTCGTCCTTGCCACCTTCTTATCTTTTTCATTTCTATGAGCTCCCCAGATAGAGACCATGTCTTACATCCTTTATATCTTGCAAGGCCTTGTATAATAGAGCTTTGTAAGTATCAGTAGAATTGAATAATTTTTGGAAAATAAAGAGATACCTGGGTTTGGAAATGTGCTGGTACTCTATATTAGTGTAGTCTGAGAGGAAAAAGGGCTTTGGTACTCTGTGTGAGGAAAGGTGACAAGTAGAGAGTTCAGAGCCAAAGGAATTTGAGAAGTTTTTTCTGAAAGGAATGATTTTGCACTGAAAGTTAAAGTGTAATTTTGACGGAACGGAGATTTAGAAGGATTTAAGGTAGATGGAATGATCTGCTGAGAAGTAGGAAAATACAAGTTATGAACAAAAAAATCTATTTTATTGTTTTATCAGTCCTAAGAAATGTCTTTCTTTTAGGGAGAAAAAATGGGTGACTGTGGGTGACACATCCCTTAGGATATTTAAGTGGGTTCCTGTGACAGACAGCAAGGAGGTAAGTGTGGAAGAAAAATCCAAACACAGAAAGGTACTGTTTTCTTTCTTTGATTGCCTGTTAATGATAAAGGAGTTTATTTCCTGGAATTGAATTGAAAATATGTAAAGGCACCCTTTGTCATTGGCCCACACAAAGCTTCCCTTTATTTTTCCCCCCTTTATTATCTTTCCTTAACTCATTCCTCTTTTTCATGGCTTAATGAACTATGGCCCAGGCCTATTCCCTATGAGTGTCATTGTAGCTTTATTGGAACTCTTCTGTGCCCATTGGTTTCCTTATTGTGTGGCTGCTTTTGAGTTATAATGGCAGAGTTGAGTAGTTGCCATACGACTTAATGGCCTACATAGTCTAAAATATTTATTATCTGGCCCTTCAAGAAAAAGTTTGTTTCTCCTGCTTTTATCCAGTTAGCTGTTCATTACAGTATATTTTTATGTGTTTTATATGTGTATATGCCTTTCTGATTCCTCTTCCCTGTGTTTTTTTTGGATACCTGTGTATTCTTGAAAAATACATAGCATTGTTTCATTTTGGTATTTTAAATTTTTCACATCTAAATGTAGCATTGTGCTGTAAACCTCTATTCTCTTTTGTTCAACCCTGTTTTTGAGAACTCTCCGTGTTTTTATAATTGTAAATTGAGTAACCAACTTTGATTTTTGCATTGTATTCTCTTATATACAGTGATCACATTTATTTATACGTTTTCTGGGTAATAAAACACCCAAATTGTCTCCAGCTTTTTTCCCAATTGTTTTGGAAAATCTCAAATATAAAACAGACATAAAAGTATGTAAACATAAATGTACAGTATAATGAGTAAATATAAAGCTGATACCCTTGTCAGAACAACCCAGAGGTCGCCGGTTCAATTCTAGGTCAGGATACATTCCCAGGTTGTGGGCTGGATCCCCAGTTGGGGCATGCAGGAAGCAGCCACTTAATGTTCTCTCTCATCGATGTTTCTATCACTCTCTCCCTCTCCCTTCCTCTCTCTCTAAAATCAATAAAGAAAAAAATTATATATTTTTTTAAAAAAAACAACCCAGGTCAGCCCTGGCCAGTTTAGCTCAGTGGTTGGAGCGTGAGACTGCGGACCGGAGAGGCCCGGGTTCGTTTTCCACTAAGGGCACATATCTCGGTTGCAGTTTGTCCTCCGCCCTGGTTGGGGTCGTGTGGGTGGCAACACTCAATGTCTCTCTCACATCGATGTTTCTCTCTCTCTCTCCCTCTCTTCCTCCCCTCTCTCCCTCCCACTCTATCTGAAGATAAATGCAAAAAAATGTCCTCGGTTGAGGATAAAAGAAAAAAACCAACCTAGGTCAGAAAATAGAGCAATGTCAACTCTGCCAGAGACTTCTCTCTGTGTGACTCTTCCCAGCATTCCTTTCCTCCCCTTCAGAGGAAATGTCACTCCTTTTGTTTTTCTTACCACTTCTTTAGTCATTTGCAAAATTTTAAACTTTATATAAACAGTATCATGAAGTGTCTATTTTCGTGTGTCTTGCTTTTTTCTTGCTCAGCATTATGTTTATAAAATTCATCCATGTTGTCTTTAGAGCTATTTGTTTTTTTTTGTTGTTGTTGCTGCATGGAATTTCATTATAGAACTATACATAATTTATCTTCCTGATTCTCTTGTACATAAATGTTTGGGATACTTAGGAATAATGCTTCTAATCTAGTATGTGAGTCAACACGTGCACGAGTTTTCCTAGGAGATACCCTAGGAGTAGAATTGCAGGTCTTGGGGTCTGTGTTTTTTGACATAAACTAGCTGATGCTAAACTATTTTCCAAAGTGAGTGATTGTACCAATTTACAAGGGTGGATAAAGGAGGTTTAGTTTAAGTATTCACTTTCCTTGGTTATTGTTAAGTTACTAGCCATTATCTAAAAGATAAATCAGACAGAGGGGGTATGGGTAGAGGGGTAAGAGGGTATAGGGGGGATAAATGGTGATAGAAAAACAATAAGATAAAGGAAAAGATTAAGTAAGAATACAAAATAATAGTAAGACAAGTAATACAATAATTAATAAGTAAGTAATACAAAAATAAACTGTGTTTTGTATAGTCACAACTGTAAACCTTAACTTTGCCCACCCCTGTATATTCCCACCAGAAATACAAGAGTTCTTATTCCAAATCCTCATCAGCAATTGGTAATTGTTTGATTTATATGTAAAGGTAACCTTGTTTGGGCTCTGGCTGGTTTGGCTCAACTGTTAGGGCATCAGGCTGAAGGGTCTCAGGTTTGATCTCCAGCCCGGGTTGGGGTCAGGGTCGTGCAGGAGGCAGCCAATCCCAATTGATGTGTCTCTCACATCTATGTTTCTCTCTCTCCCTCCCTTCCACTCTGTCTAAATCAATGGAAAAATATCCTTGGGTGAGGATTAACCAAAAAAAATTTTTTTTAAATACTGTTTGTTTTTAATTTGATGACTAGTAATTGTGTAATTACTAATGACCTTTAGCACCTTTTCAATGTTAGCCTTTTGGGTTTCTTCTTTTAGGGAGTACCTGTTTATGTATGTTTGGTTGTGGTTTTTTTCTTAGGACTTCTCTGTTCTGGTTCACAAAGCCTTTTTTTTTTTTTTTTTTTAATTTTTTTATTGATTTTAGGGAGAGAGGAAGGGAGAGGGAGAGAGAGATAGAAACATCAATGAGGGAGAACATTGATTAGCTGCCTCCTGCATGCCCCCCACTGGGGATTTGGCCCACAACCTGGGTATGTGCCCTAACCCAGAGTCCAGCCTGCGACCTCTTGGTGCGTGGGTTGATGCTCAACCACTGAGCCATACCGGCTGGGCAATCCTGGTTTTTCTAGTCTTTCTGTTCCTTTTTTTTTTTTTTACTTTATTGATTTTAGAGAGAGAGGAAGTGAGAGGGAGAGAGAGATAGAAACATTGATGAGAGAGAATATTGGTTGGCCGCCTCCTGCATGCCCTACACTGGGGATCAGGCCCACATCCTGGGCATGTGTCCTGACCGGGAATCGAATTGGCAGCCTCTTGGTGCATGGGTTGATGCTCCACCCTGAGCCACACTAACTGGATCAGTCTTTCTGTTCCTTTAAAGAATTTTATCCCTGCCCTGGCTGGTTTGGCTCAGCGGTTAGAGTTTCGACCTGCGGTCCAGAGAGACCCAGGTTTGGTTCCCGCTAAGGGCATGTACCTCGGTTGCAGTTTGTCCCCGGCCCTGGTTGGGTAGTGCGGGTGGCAGCCACTCGATGTGTACCTTTCACGTTGTTGTTTCTCTCTGTCTCTCTCCTTCTCTCTCCCTCCCGCTCTATCTGAACAAAAAATGAAAAAATGTCCTTGGGTGAGGATAAAAAAAATAAAAAATAAAGAATTTTAGCCCTGGCCCTGGCCAGTTTGATGCAGCGGTTGAAGCTTCGGCCAGCAGACCAATGAGTTGCGGGTTTGATTCTGGTCAAGGGCACATACCTCGTAAATCAGTTGCAGTTGGTCCCCAGCTCTGGTTGGGTTGTGCGGGAGGCAACCAGTCGATGTTTCTCTCTCTCTCTCTCTCTCTCTCTCTCTCTCTCTCTTTCTTTCTCTCTCTTTCTCTCTCCCACTCTATCTGATAATAATGGAAAAATATCCTCGAGTGAGGATTTAAAAAAAAAAAATTTTTTTTTAGCCCTGGCTGGTGTGGCTTAGTAGGTTGGAGCATTGTTCTGTATACCAAAAGGCTGTGGGTTTGATTGCCATTCAGGATATATACCTAGGTTTTAGGTTTGATCCCTGACCGGAGCAGGTACAGAAGGCAATTGATCCATGTTTCTCACATCAGTGTTTCTCTCTCTCTCAAAAAAAAATCAATGGAAACATACCCTTGGGTGAGGATTAAAATAATAATTTTAGAGAGTAATGGCTCTATTTATTTTACTCTTTTTGTTTTGTTAATCCTTACCCGAGGAAGTTTTTTCCATTGATTTTTAGAGAGAGTGGAAGGGAGAGATGGGGAGAGAGAAAAAGAGAGAGAGAAACATTGATGTGACAGACACACATTGATCGGTTGCCTCCTGCATGCACCCCCAACCAGGGACGGAATTGAACCTGCAACGCAGGTATGTGCCTTTGACTAGGAATGGAATCCATGATCTTCTGGTCCTCGGGCCGATGCTCTAACCACTGAACAACACTGGCCAGGGCCATTTTTCTCTTTTTTTTAATTCCTCACCTGAGGATATTTTTCTACTTATTATCAGATAGAGCGGGAGGGGGGAAGAGACAGACAGAGAAACATCAATGTGATAGAGCCACATCAACTGGCTTCCTCCCACATGACTCACCAGGGCCGGGGACAAACTGAGGTACATGCCCTTGACTGGAATCAAACTCAAGACTCATTGGTCCTTGGGCCGATGTGCTAACCTCTGAGCCAAACTGGCCAGGCCATTTTACTCTTTTTAATTAATTGTGGTAGAATACACATACCATAAAATTTACCATCTTACCATTTTTCAATGTATATAGTTCAGTGGTCTTAAATATATTTACCTTGCTGTCCAACCAATCTCCAGAACTCTTTATCTTGCAAAACTAAAACTCCATACTCATTAAACAATTCCCCATTCCTCTGCTCCATTTAAAAAATACATTTTTATTTTATTTATTTATTTTCTTTTAAGGAGAGTGAGAAACATTGAGGTAAGAGACATTGATCAGCTAGCTGTCTCCTGCATGCCTCCTACTGGAGGTAGAGGCCATAATCTGGGCATGTGCTCTGACTGGGAATTGAACTGGCAACCTTTGGTGCACAGGATGACACACAACAGAACACTGGCCAGGGCCTTCTGCTCCATTTTTGACCTTGTATTCTAAGGTCAAGCTTTAGCCATTCGTTCAGCACATTCAGATACTGGGTAGTAGGAGGAGTGGAAAGATGGCAAATGGTATTTTCAGGAATTTAAGGAGTTTCCTAGAAGTTGCCTCAGGATTCTCTCTCTCTCTCTCTCTCTCTCTCTCTCTCTCTCTCTCTCTCTCTTACT